GCTGCTTATACTTCAGTTTTATCAGTAAAAATATCTCTGAATTATTCTCATTTCCACTGTGTATGTCACTTAAGGTTTCAGGAAAAAGAAACCCTTGCAACCCTTAAACTTGTGTATTATTGCATCCACTGCTGATAAAACAACCCTGGGGTCTCCAACATACACACTCAGAAACCAGAATGAACCAGAACTTCACTTCTAGTTTTGGGAGTTTTTCATATATCTCAAGAGGAGACTCATGAACACATTTGTGAAAAAAATTTGCCTTTTTCTCCTTATATCTTTAACATGCCAGTATTGATATGTCAAGGGAACAGCCTGGGGAGCATTTGAAGTGTTGGCACCTATCGCACACTTTGCATAGAGCTGCTTGGTACAGCTCTGAGCTCCTTGTTCTCTTCCTTACTCCTTTCCCTCTCCATCTGGATGCTTTCAGATTAATTGTTGGGAAAGTCCTCTCTCTGGAGCACAGCCCCCTCCACAGGGCCTGGTGCTGTTTCAGGTGTTCTGCACCTGCTCGTTCCCCTCCCCTCACATCCTGAGTAACCCGGTCCTTTGGCAATGCTTAATTTAAACAGCATAAAACCTCTTTTCTGCTAATGAAATACAATAAATAAATCCTGTTATTCTTTCATTACCGTAGTCTATGGCCAGCTGAAAATATTTCACTCAGCTGACAGCAATGATGCAAAATTCCCCTCTCCTTGAAGCAATAAAGGGAAAGGTGTTCTGTAATAAACAGGGAAGGGAGAGCTGCCAGATGCAGAGGTTGGGAACTACAATCTACTGAAACATGGGACACAGCCCTGGAGCCTGGATTTGTCATCTGGAGATGCAGATAACTGGACTAAAGGAGGGGACATCATCGCTGGGAAATGCAGAGCAAGTCACTTTCTCTGCAAATATAATCTTTATTTCCACTCAAACACTGCTTGAACAGTGGGTCATTAATGACATTTTCCTACGAAACTTTACTCTGCTTTGCTTAGGGTGGAGCACAGCACCCAAACATCCACGTGACCACGCTGTCCATGTCTGGATAACCAGCAGTATTAGTTGGGGGAGCAGGTTCCAAAGGATCAGACTTTGGCTAAACTGTTCCCATTGGAGACACCATGAACATCCCCATTGATTTCACTGTGGCAAGAGCTGGACCAGTGGCTTTTACTGCTCCAGCCTGTGTTAGGAGTCTGAAATATTTCTTGTCATGCAGTCAAACAGAATAATTGTACCAGCATCTAAATCCAGCTGGAAGGCAGGGCCAAATTCTTTTCTGGCTCATTTCACCTTCCTAATGCCAGAATTTATATGGAGGTTTCCGTAAAGCCTACACTGGGCTGTGTCAAACACAATCCTTTCCCATACAATACAGATTTTTTCCGGGATATATACTGAAGCAGATGAATTTAAAATGCAGTTTCTGTGAGTAATTGTGCAGGTAAAACGTGGGGCTGTGTACTGGGGGGGGGGATTTTGTAACTGTTTCCTTGCACTAGTGATTCCAAAATAAAGTGCAGATTACTCTTTATATGGTTTTCATTCACACTTCAACAATGATGCACAGGCAAAATGCTGGTGTGACATAATAATATAGTATGGTATGTCATAAAAGTAATTTTTATATCAAAAGCCCAAACAAAACAACTGCAAACTTACAAAGATGTTTGACTTTGTTGTCCTCTAATGTTAACCTTGACCATATTTCCTAAAAAGACGGTGAAAGGATGCAGAGCAATTAAGACTTAATGACATTTCTCCTTCAAAAACCTTAAAGATATGGGCTGTAATTGGGTTCTAACCCCTCTACACCCAGCCAGCCACCAATTCTAGGAATTCTGCCCCACCAACATGTGTAAACAGATCAACACAACTGGAACAGCCTCATATGAACTGTTTTTTAAAGAAGAACTGTTGTTAAGGCATATTCTCTTCAGTCCTAATTACCTTGAAATTATTTGATGAGAACAAAGTGGCACATTTTTGTCTGGTGCCGAGATCACTCAAAATGGGACATGGAAAACAAAAACTGAGTATCCTGAGGGATATCACAGTATTTGTCTATAATCACTACAATCTTTATCATTTTTTATGCTAAGATTTCACAAGGGTAGTGCTGCTGATAAATTGTAGTTACTTAATTTTCAATTGTTGCTACCTTAATTGTTACAGAGAGCTTAGCTTTCTAAAGTTATGTCAAGGTGTATAATACAAAAGCATGTTCAATATATGCCTTCAATAATTTCTTTGTTGTTTGAAAACTTCCAACTTACAGCAAAGCTGGCATTTTATGGCCTGCAGAGCTATAAATCATTTTTAAAATCATGATGATATTACTCAAAACAGATGTGAAAACATATGTTTGCCACGGTTGTATAAACCGCTTACTTGTCATACTTAATAAATGTTGATACTTTTATTTTAACTACATTCCTTCTTAATAACTTTGAAAATCTTTTCCATGGTAAATATATTTTGCCTTAGTAAAAGTAATGGCAGGTTTGGAAAAACAAAGCTTGCTCTGTATACAAATTACAGGTATATTTTTTGCAGAGCAAGGCAGCACAGATCACACTCTTCAGTGACTGTCCACATCTGACTCTACAATTCAACATAACTGAGGAGCACCAGAGCCCAAAATAATAACCCACAAGAGAATAATAACAGTACTGGGAACAAGGAATCTATCCAGGAGTCAGACAAAGCCTTGAGGAATAACCCCAGTGCTGTGGGGTGACAGAAGGGCCCAGCACACACTGGCTGGGGACTTTCAGAGCTGAGTTCTGACTGTCCTACTCGTGCATTTCCTTCAGCTACTGGGTGCCCATATCCTGTAAAACAGAGATTCCTACAGCAGTACAGGCCTGCCACACTGCCAAGTGCAAAATCAGCTTGGAATTGCTGGATATACACTGTTGGTGCCTTTAAAATTTCAGCATTTTTCCCACTAGAATGCCACGAAAAGGTTCAGGTTCTGGAGCTGGGGGATTACTTGAAAATCACATCTTTACTTGACAAAAATAAATAATTTCTCGTTCTTGACCTGTGCAGACCAAGCAGAAAAGCAGAAACTTTATTCTATCCTTAAACATACTCTAACACATCTTGTGATTTCGAAGCCCTTTTTTCTGATGCAGGTGAGTCTCTGAACACTAAATTAATCCCAAAAATATGCCCTAAGTGCACGCAGAACTAACACATGTATAAAGATGTATTACCCAGTATCTAATCAATTAAAGAAAGGTAACACTATGCAAAAATGTAGACCAGGAAATGAATAAACCTATACAACTTCAATCTTAAGGTGATTTATGGTACACAAATTGTCATCATCAGATCTTTGTGATTCTATCCCTGTTACAAGAATACTCAGTGATCTCAGGAGCCTGGGAATTCAGATCACAGGTGGTGGGGGTTCAATTATTTTCACGCTTTTGAGGATTTCTGAATTATCTTTTCAGATTCTTAAACTGTGCCTTCCTTCATCCATCCTGAGTGGCAGAGCTGCTACTACCAATAACTACACGATTTGCATCTTTGAACCCCACAGGATATTGAATTGTTTCGCTGAAAAATGACTGAACATGTGGCAAGAAACCAGGCACAGTTCAACAAAATTAAAATCAACTACACTTTCAGATTTAGATTAAATACTCACTGTGTAATTACCACAGAAATGTAATTTTTAAGTCTTAGGAGTGAAGGTATGGCTGTTAACTGTAACCTCTGGTGCTGGTCTATAAATGTCAACAGGAGTCAAGAGGGAAGGATTTAAGCATGATGATTCAGAAAGAAAATTATCTCAGAATGGCACAAAAGGGCTCTTTTGGGGTTCATAAGGAAAGTGCTTAAATGCCCAGAGAAACCAGTGAATAGAAAACAGCTTCTTCTGCCTTCAAGGAGAGTTGAGTGTGAAAATACAAAATATAAGGAGGAAGTTTCAGAGTCTTCCTACCCAAGACTGGATCAGACACAGATCTCTTAAGGAACAGAGCTGCTGTACAAAATCATGAAGCTCCTCAAATAATTTTATATAACTCTGGAACCACAGGGCACGTAAAGCCTCCAAATTCTCTTCTGAATAGCTCATAAAATTGTCTGTACCTGCCTTTTTATTTTTCTCTGAAAATACATGAAAATTACCTCAACTATAATATAAATCAGTTTGTTTTCATTTATGATAAAATGATAAGTATGAACATTCGCAGCAGGCTTACAAGTACATTTAGATTATTTTGCCTCCTCTTTCTTTCTTTTCCTTTACATCTTTTTCACTCTAAAACCTCCATATCTCCCTCAGTGTATCTCACTGTAGTATTGATCCAGAATTCACTTACCTTCAGTTCTCCTTTATTTCTTTAACTACATCCCATCTCCTTTTTTTTTTTGCAGGCACACATTTTGCCTGGTGCTTTCTGTACATATTGCCAGAATGAACTTGTCATTATTAACAGGATTGATTTTTTTTATTATATTTACAAGGAAACAAAACAGCTGCTGTTTCTGCTCACACCTGAGTATCCACCTTCTTCAGTACCCAACAATGACTGCAGAGAGAACCAGCAGAGGAGACACATCCCTGCCTACAGACAATCCCTACACTTTTTCCCTTGCTACCTCCCACTTGAGAGGTAATATAATAATATTAGACACAAAAAATGGCTTATTTCCCTCACCCACAGCATTAGAGCACTCTGCACACACACCCTCTGGAAGCAAACAAACAATACCATGTGACTAATCAAATATTTGCTAGGAACTTCTTAAATAATTGAGCCAAAAGACCAGCAAAATACTACCCTCATATTATATAAACAGAGAAGTTCTGATTGCTCACACTTTCATGTAAATTCACTGGATACATTATTCATTGCAATTAGGCACTTAGTTCTCTTAAATTAATAATATAATGTCATTGCATATGCAGAATACTAGAAAAAGGAATAAAACAGCTAAAAAGGGCAATTAAATGCCCGAGATGGAAAAACAGTCTGTAATTTTACCTTTCTCCTTTTGTACTTTTTTTAGGCTGGTCCCAGTTTCTTGGTCAATGAGTTCTCCTTCCCTGTTGTTGGTCAGCATAGCTACAAGAATCAGAGTTACATAACACTGTCAGTAAAAAACTGTTAGGAGAAAGGAAAATATTAAATTGTATTTCCTCTTGGTCAGTGTTTTGGTATTTTAACACTTGGAGCCAAGTAAAATACGCAGCAAAAGCAAATCTGCTCAAGTGGATTAAATAAAGATACCAAGACAGAACCCAGCTTACTACTGAGAGGAATGTAATTTCTTATTAAATGTTCAAATTAACTAATTACAAAAGTACTTCCATAGAAACCATTTGGGCAAAAATACATTTAAGGATTTAAGTATTAATAATCATTTATAAAGCAACAAAATTAATAAAATCCACCAATTGACAGATTGTACCCCAAGCTGACAGGTAACAGCAAAAACCCAATACACTGTCATGCTCAAGGAAATTCTTTATTTAGTTTGTGCAGGATCAGTGAGAGGTGTGAGGTTTATAATTTCAAGATTCCTATTTTCTTTGTTCTTAATTTGACTAAAACACTTCCCTCTCTGCAGTCAACCAATGACAGACTTTAGAGTTATTCCAGTGAGGACACTTGTTACAAATTTCATCACCATATTTTAGGGAAAGCTTTTTTTTCAGTTGCAAAAGTAAAAACTTATGTATTTATATTGATAGAAAGTATGTATACGTATCTTTACAACAGTGAGCACTAAACCTTGACACAGAGACATCAAAAGTCCCTTTTTCACTGCTGCAACAGGAAGTTACATCTTGTCCTGTGTACTTCCAGCACTATTTTAGATTTGAAAAAGCTGAGGAGAATCTACTTTCTAGTCTCTACCCTGTGTGTGCACGTGTTTAGGCAAAGAATTCAGGTTCCACTGGCCACTCTGTGTAGAGCCAGCTGTGCTGTGGTGCTGCTGCAGGGACCAGAGTCAGAACTGCAAAATCCCAGGGAGCAGCTGAGTGGTTACTGGATGGGAGTGAAGTCTGCACTGACTTACATGGACTGTTTCTGCAGTTTACATCTAGCTCAGCAATGCCTGCATGGGCTCCAGGCCCTGAGAAGAGAACGGTGTTGACACAAACTGACATGAAGAGACGTTAATTGACTTGCCCTAGATCCCTCTTGGAAGCACCAAGAATAGGACCTAAACTTCCTCTAGACTGAATTAGCATTTTAAATGGCATTTTGATAGTGCACAGGCTGTGAAAGCTGCGCTGGGGACACCAAAAAATCAGAAAGCCCTCAGCCTTGGGGTGATGAGGGAACGTGTGGGCACAGGGAGGTTTTTGGAAGGAGAAGGTCATCAATAATGAGACTTTCCTCACATCCATATGAAGAAAAAAAGATATCTTGCTCTTTTTGAATTCCAGGTGCCTTCAGCAGCACTGTCTCACCCAGGCACAGCAGAATAGCTGGTTGTGCCACAGTGATGCCTTCTGGGCATGGGTGGAGACTGGCACAGGAGGAATGTGAGGGGCTGGGCTTTGCACAGCCATGAACTTAATGAAACAAACTACAGTGATGCACTTGCTGGCTATTTCTTAGCAAGTGAGTGCCTTCCTGAGCATCCTAGTGAACAAATATTTGCCTCAACAAACTCCCCGAGTTGCTGAGATGCCTGTGAGGAGTGTGAGCTGCAGGGCACTGACCAATTCTGTCGGGGGTGTTGTCCAGCTGGGACGGGGAGCTGGACACGCTGCTGCTCTGGTGGGAGGACGGGTGGCTCCCGGGGCGCTGGCTGTCCTCCAGGGACGGGGCTGGAGAGGGGCTGTCCTGGATCCTTTCCTTCAAACACAAACAAAACAAGGTCTGTGCCATTCAATTCATGGACTTCACTGAAAAAAACATGAAGTTGGCTTAAAATAACAACAACAAATGGTCTTTCCGAGATCAACAGTGAACAGAACTCTCATCTAAAGAGATGCACAGTTACCTGTGTCTGAGCTTGCTAATCACTTCTGCCACCTTTTCTTTTTGTTGGTAACTTTTTATTTTCTAACTTTTTCACACATAAGAACATACAAAATATTCTTTCATGTTGCCTTCACAAGCTACTTTTGATCTACCAGGTAGTAACACTGGCATATATGAGTCACATTTCAAATGAACAACTCAGAGTTGTGTTAAACTGTCACTAAAATGCAGTCAAATTTGTAAAGTCACTAGAATCTCTATCTAAACAAATTATATCAATACCTTCCCAGGGCAGCATCCAGACAAATGATAAAAGCTGAGGCACTGGTAAGAACTTCAATTTTGCATGAAAAGCACCACTGGGTAGCCAAAGTAAGAGTGTGCTTGCAAATTCTTGTGTGTATTTGTACATGAAACTTTGATACTAACCTCTAATTTAGATATACACAGCACTTGAGGTAGGGAGGAAAAAAAAAGGATAAGAAATTTAAAAAAAAAAGAGCAAAATGAAATTCTGCAGTTCTGTGTATCTATACTGGTAAATTATCTGAAGATGCCATGGAATTTTCATCAGTAAAAATCTTTAGGAACAGGTTAGGCAAGTGTGGTATAAGTAATAATTCATCCTGTCTTAAGGCAAGAGATTGTAAGAGCACTTGAGATCCCTTCCAACTCAGTGTTTCAACACATATACTTTTTCTGAATTAGTTAAAAATTCCAGTACCCTTCATTCCTGTTCCCAGGACCAACAAAACTGAGAATCTTCTGGCCTGAGATACTCCAGATACTTTTATCTTAGAATCCCTTCTGTGTTTTAAACCTCTGTTACAAGTCCTTGAAGTTGCAGTTCCAAGGGAGAGACATGAACAAGGAGATGGTTGAATTTACAGAACTCCAGGAACTGCCCCATCCCTCACAACCAACTGCTCCTTGTGGAAACTCAGAACTGAAATATTACTTTCTTTTACTAAAAAAGGGAGATTTTCTTGCCCTCACCTCATTAAAAATCACCATTTCAGTGTAATCTGGGAAAGTTGTCTCAAAAGAATTTTGCCATTTTTCCTCCTTTCTAACCCGTTCTAGAGATGCTTCATTAGGAAAGTGCAATCTGGCAGCTTGGTGGTGATTTACTGTGGGCTTTGGAAAACAAACTCAGTAGCATTTGAACTTTTTATGCAGTTTGCTAGACAGTATCCTAAATCAATAACGTAGCTTTGAGAAGAGAATGGTGGTTTCTAATAGTTTTTCCATTAGAAATATCTGAAATAAAAGCTGCTGTTTGGAACACACTGGGGCAATTCATTAATTACACTGGCAGCAAGATCAACAAGAATATTCTATTACCCATTAAAACCACCTCTTTAGGCCACACTCACCTTTGTATTTACAGAGAGATTTGAGAGTGACACAAAGGGAAGGTGAGATTGAATCCTCCTCATAGCCTGGGAGGGCATTTCCCTATTCCAACCATGCTAGCTGAGCATTGGGTGTACTTTTAAAAGGATAGGTATTGTACTTTAAATAACAACTGAACCTCAAAATCACATAACATGTATCTATTACATAGCTGATAATCCTCAATGGATCAGTTCCACTCATTATCTGTTATTTAATGAGCATACAATAACTAATAAATCTCTAAGAGAGACTTTTAACTGAGGCATTTTTGAATGCTAATACTTAATAGATATGAGTCTATTATGTAGAGTCACAAGTTTTTCAAATTTTGAAAACTTAATGGGTTTATACAAACAAGTTCTCAAATTCTGGTGATCTTAAAAGTCTCCTGTGCTTTCTTCATCTCAGCTTCCAAAAGAGAGGGTTTAGAGGCTGCTGAGATGAACAGAAAAGAGAGACAGGACTTTCTCTGTGGCTGCTGATTAAATTGCTTTTAAAAGTCACATTCTTACCCCAAGAAGTATTGCCCTAAATCATGATGAATCCTATACACGCAATCCTGAGCATATAAATCCTGTATGTCTTTTAGCTTCCTGTAAATAATAGCTTCCAAATAGGTTCCTGCTAACAGGCTACTGTAATTTCATTTGCCTGGATTTCAGTTTAACAGTCCTCTTTGGCACTATTTCCTCTCCTTTTACCACAAAGAGCACTCAATTTCCAATTAAGATATCATTTTGAAATGATTAATTTTACAGAAGAGTGCATAGTTTAAGTAAATTTCATTGTCTATTGCAACCATGAAAATGAATGGCCAAGGAGAGGACATGCCAACTGTTCTGCAAAAAAACCCTATGAACAAATATGACTATGAATTAACACTTAAATATCACACAAACAGCCATATATGTCATCTTAAATGGGAGTTATTTGAGTAATTCAAAAGCTGATGATTTGGAAAAGCAAAGTATTCGAGCTCCTTCTGGTAACTGCATTTCCCAATGTCTCTCCCTGTAAAACAATCTCTGCTTCGAGGAATTTGCCTTCAAACTCAGGGTCTTGGTTCAAAATGTTCATGCAGAAATAAAAGTGTCAAATAATAATGTCATTCTTAATCACACAGTGAATCACTTTCTAAGAGAACTGGTTGATCATGTCATCTAATGTTTTACCAGTTACACAAATGAACACACACAGGAAAAACACACTTTTCCCTATAAGCAACAAAGGAGCTGAAATTCTCTCTGTATCATATGTCCTATAAATGAGGGTGAGGTATCACCATGTGAGACTGCACATGGAACAAGAAATTGTCTATGTCTAAACATTTGTGTAGAAATGTGGTGCTGAATTCCCCCTCCCATAATGAATAACACTATGAAAAGACTCTTCTTTTGCTGGTAAACAGCTCCATTTTTCAGTCCTGTAATCAGTATGCATCTATTTAGCTACTTAACAGCAATGTGCTCTGGTTCATTAGGTAGCTACTGTTGTGTCTCAGCCTAGTTAAAATTTCACAGCAAGTTAATCTATTTTATTACAAATGAGAACACAAGTGATAATGTCCTCACCATTTTCCAAACACAGGGTTAACAGTATTTGTAACAAATCAATGAGGGTATTTAAATAGGAAAATTGCAAATCTCAAACCTAAACTTTTTTTTTTTTACACATTGATGACTTCATTTTATTTGTCATCTGTGTATTTTACAACCTCGCTACTTTTCGTATATTTTATTATTTTTCCTCTTGAAAATGGCTCCATTCTCCCCAGCCTGGTTCCATATCAGGTAAACTCACAGTAAAAGAGAAGTATTCCTAAAAAAAAGTAATATTTTCTCCATTTGTATTTTTCCTATTCATAAATTTGCAAGATTCATATTCCAGGTTATAATTTAATGAATTATACATAAAAAATGTACATATTGTGAGAATTTTATGAAAAATGAAAACATTTCTCAAGATCTCACCTATTTATCTACCTATAGTACCTACTTTATCTTATCTTTTTTCTTTCCTTTACAGAGCTATAACATAAATTCTGTAAAAGGACTTTTGCAGTATTTAATTCTCTTGAAGGGTAATATATTTGTCTCACTAAAGATCAGTGTCTTGCTCTGCCTCAGAAAATGTAGCTACAAAGCTTGACATTGTTAATTTTAGTTGTGATTTAGGTTAACGGCTCTGAAGTCATCAAGTCACCCAATTTCCAGATACATCCTTGATTTCACCTCAATATCCCCTTTTCTATCCCCTGTGAGGTGGTATTCCACACAAATAATATGAAACACTACATAACAGTTGCATCCACACTAGTTTTATTTGAAATATATATGAACAGCTTACCTATTTTTGACATAATCATCTTGACCTTAATTCCTTACCTCTGATTTTTTTATAGTATTGATCTTCATTTTATGTCAAGAATTTAGAGAAATGATGCTGCTGGATTTTCCTTTATTTTTCATTATTCTTAGCTCTAATGTAGCTGTAATTACTCTTCCAAATGTTAATCTATTAATGAGTTCCTAGAGGATTTAATGGCATTTCACTGCTGACAAGCAGGTTTGGGAAGTTTGACTGAATCCTGGATATTTTATCTCAATATTTCATATTTAATTGAGGTGCTGCTGCTCTACTTTACAAGGCTCTGCAGTGGAATGGAAAATGGAAAGGAAGGAAAAATGGGGATTTTGCTGGTTGTAGGTCTAGATTAGGGTTTTCAAGTATTGTGAGAAAGATTTTGAGTTGATGGCCATGTTGGAAAAACAGAGTTCATGGGCTGAATTCTACCAAATTCACTGCCAAATCACCATTCATATTCTCAAAGTGGACAGCACAAATTCTACAAGCCAGGAGGTTTGTCTGGAAGTGTCTGTGAAGCAGGAGCAGCAGACTGGATGCAGCCTCTCTCACCTCCAACCACAATTCCATGCTGTTCCCACCTCCCTGGCTCAATTCCATCCTCAATAAGTGGGAAGAATAAGAAAAGTTAACACAATTTACAATTTCAGTTAGCAAAGAACTGAACTGCTAACACTTATTTTTTTTAAGTTAATACTAACACAGATTTCTTTCCAATTGACCTTAGTTGATACTATTTGAATTCTAATAACAAGTACATTTTTAACAGTGTTCTAAAGTTTACAGTCCTTAACTCAAGTATTATGGAGAAAAGCAACATATAACTGAAATTTAGGCTTTTCCAAGAAAAAGCATAATCCTGACACAGTGAGCAGGAGCTGTGCTACACCCAAACTGATGCTGGGCAGTGGCCAGCAAGAAACAGGATGGTCAGTCACTGTTTCTGGGCTAGAGAAGAGTGGTTTGGTTTGTATTTTGGATCATTTCAGCCTGGAAATGAGCACACACAAACTATGGGTGACTTGTTGGTCTTCTGAGCTACTTATAGTACCTCTGATTGCTGCAGGAACTGGAGATGAGCAAGGTAAACAGCTGGTCTAAAAACTAAGATAGGATCTGGGTGTCTGAAAGCCAGCTGGATCCCATTCATCTTTTGCAGTGTATCGGGAAGTCACTCGCCTAAAATATGTACTTTGTCATTTAAAATGCAAGTTTTTTGCACGGTGTACATAGAGTTGTTTCAGTTGTAGTCAACTGGCAATTATTTTCCCACCGAATTTAAGAAATCATAAAAACTCTCCTACATTTGCTGATTTTAATACCAGATGTTCACTCACTAATCCCATTACCTCGTGACTACTTCCTATCAATCCATTAATTGCCAGCTGCTCAGCCAAACAGAGAACTGCAGCTAATCAGATGGTGTTGGGAAACAGCCAAACAGGAGCTTGCCTTCTTCCCCATTTCTTAAATTAGCAGTCAGTGGGACAACCTTCAGCTGTGTACTCAGATCTTACCTTTACATTTTACTTTGAACCTGAAAGCACAACAGTGAGTAAAACTGGAAAGGATCCCCACTGGGAACTTTGTGCTTCTACCCCTTCTATGAATCCTTTCACCCAGTGCTGCTGTGGAACGGAGGAAAGGCACTCCCAGGACTAATGATGATAATGCTGTATCTCATCTACCTCAGAGCTTATATTAGTTATTAAGGACAAATGCAAATGACCAAGCCAATACTAAAGAGATCTGAGCCAGAACTAAGAGCTAATATGTGCTTGGCCTAACAATTTCCCCTTGCAAGCTCTGCAAAAAAAGGGATATCTGTTTCTTACCGTTGCTTTTTTCCACTTGCAAGTTTGAAGTAAGTATTCAATGCTTAAAACCCATCAATGAGGTGTGTGGGTGGTAAGGAGCCAGGTATTCTTGGCACTGCAGGGAGAAGGATATGCCTCCCTCCAAAGGAGGAGATGAGAAGGGCATTTAATACAACTTTAAGGGATCTGAACATCTCCCAACAGAGCAGTTTCCCTGAATCACTGAATAAAAGGCTATAAACCTGCACACTCCCTTCTCCATCACCTCAAATACAGCCACAAAAATTAACCTTATAAGAAGCAAACAAACTCCTCTGTCTCTAACACATTCCAGTCCCATTTCAGCAACAAGCTGCCAGCAATGAACATGTGCTGTGAAACAGGGCAGAATAAATCTAATAATGAGAAAAATAACGTACATTGTACAGAAGTTTAATTTTATAAATGCTGTAATATTCTGAAAACAATTCATAATGGACTGAATGCACAGAGAGATGTGAAATTAAAGATGTTACAAATTCTGTAATGGGAAGTGTTTCTATTCTGAGAAGAATTGTTTCAGAGTATTCTGAGATGGCCACATTTTTCTGGCTGTCAGGTAAATGTTATGAATGTGAGTTGTACAGCACACAGAAAATAGCACCTCTCAGCAATAATTACACAGCCCATCTGTATTCTCTTTAGGGAATTTAAAATCATGTCATATACATCCTTTACAAATGCCTAAACAATCCCACAAAATCAGGAGAAAAACAGAACCCAAAGAGAAAGAGATTCAAAAATCTCTACTGCTTGTCTGGATCCCACTGTACTATTATTGCTTTGTTCTATCAGACTTATTTCTAAGGTACACTGGGGTCAAATTCTGAAAGAATTCTGAAATAAAAAAAAATTAAAAAACTTTATTTTGTGGAGTGTTTTTGATACAAAGCATCTCAATTACATTTATTTTTTTTCCTCTGGGTTTCCCAGCTGCATTCAACAAAAGTGCCATTTAACTCCTAACTGAGACCTGGATAAGAGCAGAAAGAGTAAGAGAAAAGTAGGAACACAGCAAGCATGAGGGGATGACAAGAGAAGAAAAATGGACAGCAGGAAACCAATTTTCAGAACTACTGCTACTCTGGAGCAGCACATCCCTCAGCAGCCCCAAAGAGGCTGCTGGCCAGAAGGGAAGGGAGGGAGCACATGGAGAGATGGAGGAAGAGGAGGGTGAGATGTGAGCAAGGAATGCCCAAAATATGTGGGGTGAATAGAACAAAAAGCAAGGAAAATTTTGGAAAGAAGAGTAAAAGAGTCTCAAATCCCTGGGATAAAATTCTGCCTCATTACTCTCAGAATCTTTTTTGTATCTAACACAAAAGGGAGCAGCCTAAAGGCCTTTGGTTTGGGTTTGGTTCCCTCAATTTCAAGCCCAGCCTAACTGGAGTTATCATCTCCCACCAGCCTGTTTCCAAGGACAGCTGGGAAAGTGGCCTTTCTGTCAAGACTCCTCTCAACTTTGCTTTTGAAGACCTAAAAATATTGTTATTGAGTAGATTTTCCTGAGTTTCAGCAACAAAATTACTGGATGACAGTAAACTGCTACACTTATTCCCAGAATCACAGACTGGTTTGGGTTGGAAAGGACCTTACAGATCACCTAGTTCCAACCCCCTGCCATGGGCAGAGATGCCACTCACTACATCAGGTTGCTCAGAGCCCCATCCAACCTGCCCTTGAACACTCAATGCTCTTTTGAGCCAAAACCATGACTTAAGTGCAGTTCAGGTAAGTTCCAGCCCAGACTGGTCCCCATGGACTGCAGAGTACATCCAGCTGAAGAACAGCTCCAGAAAAAAAAAGAACAGGACAGCAGGCACAAGAGGGAGAAGAGAGAGGGTGGGGAAGTCGGTGTTACTGTGAGATTTTGCTCTTGCCATATGAGACTCTCAATTACACAGATTCTTCTGAGCCAAGTTTCCAACAAAGCAAACTCCTTCAGATGCACAGTAAATCCCTGAAAGTAAATCCCTGATTTATCCCAGAGAAACTGCCAGAACTGCAGCCACAGTGCTGCTGGTGGGTGCTGCTGTAATCACATCCCATCATGGCTAAGGAGGTTTTGTGAGCCTGGCCATTGTGCCTCCCTAATTTATAGTGTTCCTGTCAGGGAGAAATCAAGTTTCATAGTTATGACATTTCTTTCTGGAGCACTAAATGTTAACTTTGCTGATCATGCATATCTTGGTAGAACAGCTTATTTCTAAATGGCAAACGTGATATAAAAAGCATAATGACTTCATTCAAAACCTTTATAAAGCAGCTGATTCTCACACCTATAGAAAACAGGCCAAGTGGTATTTTAGTCATCAGAGTGTGGAAACAGATACACACTCAATATATTTGATTCATTTCTCCCATTTTAAGTAACAACACGATACTGGGGTTGAAAACTAGTCATTTTTTGTACTTTTTAAATGCACTTATATAATATCCTGTAATAAAAGTAATATCACTGACAGCAGCAGCAGCAATGCTTTTCTTTTACATGTTTCATTTTGTATAAGGATTTCATGTTAACTGACATCATTCAGTGCTGGATGATTGCACTTAAGGGAAGGAAAGGACAAAAGGAGCCTCACACTGTAATGAAATCCATCTACAGGTTCAGCACTCAGAACAAACAAGAGGAAGATGCAGCATCACTTGACAGGTGAGAGTAACACAGCACTGGATCCACACTCCACCTCTGGCACATCACCTACTGGTGTATTTTCCTCTACAACATGGAGAGGAAATAATTCCCACCAGAGTGCTGGCCAAACCTACTGTTGCTGTGGAGATATTGTGTATCCTCTAGTGCAGGTGTTGGACAAAAATAGCTGTAAATGAGAAACTCACATCAGCAAGGGCCTGCAAAATAACACCCTGAAACCAAATTGCTTGCAAAACCTGCAGTTTAAATTACAAAGAACTGGCATTGTTTACAAATACAGATTTAATCTTCATTTTCACATACTGATAGCATTTAAAATGTAATCAAAAAGCTTCTGAAGTCTACTTGCTGCTACAAATATTCCACTGCTGCATTTCAGTTATGGTTTTCTCATGAGGTCTCTGAACAGGTAAAGACAAGGTTACAGAGTGAAATGAATAAAATCTCAACTAATTTCAAACAGTTTAGGTACTTGCATTAACTAATGGGCAGCTGAACATCAGAGATAGCACTTTTTCCCTCTCCAGTGAACAACTCTGCAGATACATGGATGATAAGAAGTATAACATTAAGTTTGATTTTAAACAACACTTCAGGATGGTTTTTGAGCTTTCACAGATGCAGCACAGATCTTCCTCTCGCCTCCAGAGTGTGTTAGTATCCATTCCTAATTACATTACAGGTTTATTGATAGATCAGAGCAGCTGAACTCCTTGGCTGTTGTGGTGGGCATTTCCTCAGCCTGAGGCACTCCCAGGAGCAGCACACCAGGTGAGCTGCAGGCAGCACAAACTGGCTGCCTCTTCCTTATCACCCAGGAGAAAATCACCGTAAATGCTTTTGTAAGCCACAAAGAGCTGGTTTTTTTTTTAAAGTCTGACTTACCTTTATGACAGAGGCCCCTGCCCTGGAGAGGGGACTGTGCATCTGTGCAGCTGCTGCCATGTTGGCAATGGTGTTGAGGTGGTTCATCTGGTTCATGGCCATGGCCACGGAGGCGGGGGGGAGGCTGACGGGGAGCAGGGGGTGCGGCATCATCATGAACGGCAGGTCTATCCCTGGAAAACAGCAGGGGCAGGGCCTGGGTCACTCACTGTTCCACACCCCACCACCTCCCTTCCCACAGCCCACCTTCCACTGGAACGCTGACTGGTCAAACTCGGCGTCATCACGTGTTTGGAATTTTGATGCTTCTCAGGGAATGGTTGCCTTGGCATTCCAGGAAAGGCTGGTTTGTATCGGGGAAAGAAAGTGAGTTTGTATTGGGGAAGCCATATTTAAATAAATATATAACAGTGCACAAGTTCAGTGATCTTTGTTAAGTGAAATAAAGACAAAACCCCCACAAAACATAAATTTTGCATGTTTTCCAATACATCAGATGAGTATTTACTAATAATTTTAGCTGATCATACACTCCTACCAAGTCCTCAGTTCACATACAGCAATCTGAGACCAGATTGTTATATTAGGCCTATTTCTTGAATCCAGGAAGGTGTGGGTTGGACTACAGACACTAGTGAACTATTGTACAGAAGGTCTGTGATCTGGAACATGTAATGAAAGGTTAAAATTGTTGCCAGAGGTTTTAATTTTCAGGATGTCACTTTAAATTGTCTTCTGCTATGGTTATAAACCAATTTAAGAAGGTGTGAAATTCATTTGGACCAACTTGGAGATCTTGACATTGCCAAAAAGGTGAAGTTACTGCTAGCAAGAATTGGATTCTCATACTTCATTAATATCCATTTCAGCATGTGTATTACTTCTTGTATTTAGTAATGACAGCAATGGAAAGCAAGACCAAGACACCAATTCACTGAAAAAAAATTGTTTCAGGTTATTCTGCATTCGAGAGTTCTTTAGAGGGACCACTTTAAGATAGCTACTTTTGGGCATCCAAAATTATTTTTTCAGAATAAAAATAGGGCTCATTTTGCCAGACAAAATGTCCTATCATATTTCTAAATGAAATTTAGATCAGAAATTCTCATTTAGAAATTCAGAGGCGAGTATTAAATAACACAAACATATAGCTAATTATAACCACATGCTATTCACATTAATCACTACTAAAAGGGTTTTAACTTTTGGCTCTATCATAACTATTTGAAATGAAAAGTCCACTCCCCAATTTGGTGTATGACAAAACTAACAATTAAAATTACCAGTGACTGACATAGCCTATGTTATTCCTATATAATTTGACTACAGTGGGATAAAAACACTACAGTGCCCACCAGGAAAGGCAGAACTGCAACATCCTGAGCTCCCACACTATTTCTGCTTAACATGACTATATCATGATCAACAACTGTGATGTCTAATGATTCACTATATATTTTATATGATGATCCAGGCCAATATTAATTATGATAGGCAATAAGCAAAGCCCACATCCATCTCCCTTCCCTTCAAACCACACTGACAGTGTCTGCATCCATAAGCCTTTGTTCCCCTGCAGATCTCCCTTAACAGCCCAATAATCTTCCCTCATCCTCTATAGAGTTCCAAAACTCCCAGACACCATCTGGCCACATTGAGTTGTATGTCTACTTAAAGTCCAATTGACATGCAAACTAAATGCAAACTACAAACAGAATTTAACAGCACATCACCAGTTTTAAGACACAATCCGTCAAACATTTCAGAGGACTATGAGGAAAATACATCCTGCACTTGCAAATCATTGGGCATAATGTCTGACATTCAATAAAGCCTTTAACAGCCTATAGACACCAGCCTACTACAAAATACCTACTAGAAAATACCTCTAGGAGCAAAGAACACAACATGCCTGTATGTAAAATATATTCAGGTGCTGAATTATGCAAGAATATAAAAGGAAAGGTTAAACTACAGTGAATTTGAGTCCTATGACCTGGTGATTTTTAGCTACTGACTCCTAACCCAAAATACTCAGGTCCACACCTTCCCATGCACAAAGCAGGCCCTTCTTATAGGAGTCATTTCAATAACTCTGATTTGTTCATGTCTGGGGCCCAACAGAGGTAGCAAGGAACTAACTGCTCCTAAAATTGTGTAAGGGGTCAGAAATCTCATTACTCCACTAAAACTAACACTAAAAATCAACTTTCATAACTTTGAGGATGAAAAGCTTAAACAAGTAACAAGAGTTCAGAGGTAACGAGCTTTTCATTCTTCATCCATCATCAACAGTTAGAGTTAACTTTATTCCTCAATAACTTTAAAAATATTAATCCTGAACATCTTTCTTGGAATATATTTCCCTTCCTTTTCTTCCCCCTTTGGGTACAAAGAAGGGGAACTGCTGACTTCCCACCTGCCCTCTTCCTAAGGGAAAGAAAAGAGGTGGCTTTAAAGAGAGCTCTAAGTTACAAATCCAAACTGTGTCATTTCATTCCAATTGTTTTGGATAGCTGAGTTCACTGGATGACCTTGCCCATATGTGGCAGGTACAAGGCAAAACAAGGCAGAGGGATTGCTCCTGCTCACTTTTAACTGGTCATTTTGCATTTATTCCTTGCTCTCATATTTGTATTTTGTGGTCAGCATTTTCATCTGGAATGGAATTTTCTAACATAGCTAAAGTTGTAAGCAACTTTATGATTATTTTTCCCTTCAGTTCAGGCCATGGAAATGTCAATTTAACAGTCCCAAACCCAGGAGTGAGTGACTATTCCAAGAGAGTGGCTTGGACACGAGGCACAAGTGCAGCAGACAGTGGGAGGACTGACCCTCCCGTTGCTCCAGTGTCTCCCATCACTTCCCCACCTCCACCAGGCTGGGAAGGAAGGCAAGCCAAGCCCCCAGCAGGGCTCCAGGTACTCTCTTTTCCCAGTAAGAGCCCAGTACATACTGTTGGTGAGCAGGTGGTTCTGCTGGAGAGGACTGAGCGGGTGTGCACTTCCAAGGCTCGACTGCCCTGACAGTGTGGGATGGCCAATGCTGTGCTGGGATCCCGTCGTAATGGGAGACTGGAGCTTCTCTTTATCCCAGGAGGATTCACTCCCACCTGTAAAACCAAAGATCAAACCAAACCATGAATGGCATACACTATTATTTAGAGACATTTTTCTTGGTTAGTAATGGGCTAAGACTCTTTACCATGGCACAGGCACAGCATCTCAAACCTGCACCTGAATCTTTCAAAAACAAATGAATAAATATGCATCAGTCAAAAAAGAGGACTGGAAACTTTCAGCAACACCTACCTCATAACACTAGTTTCTGGGAACAGGGAAAGTTAAACGTTTAAGGATAAAATCATACAAGTAAACATCAGTCATGATTAAGGAAATAAACAGAAATGGAACATCTGAGACACTAAATCATGATCTGCTATCACAGGACATGAGGCCACCCAGTCCCTGCCACAGGCTCCTCAGGTCTCTCACCACTGTCAATCTTACTGGGCCATTCCCTCCCTCCAGTTCTCACCAGCATTCCAGCTGAAACTCATCCCCAAAGAGCTCACAACAACTTATCCTTCCACTATTTTACCTCTGAGCTTCAAAAGCTTCCCCTCCACTGCTGGGTTTGACCCTGGGGACGTCCTAAGTAACACAGTTTCTTCACTTTGCTGGGTTAAATGAGCCAGGCATAGGCTGGGCTTGGACATCATCAATATTCAGGATTTTAAATTTAGGAGTCCAGTATTTATTATGCATAGTAATTACTGTCTAAACCAAAAACGGTCTAGAGAACTAAGCACTTGTGGTCTAGAATCTCTGTTTGCTCTTCCAAAGAAGTAATTTTACAGACTGTAGTTTTTTTCAGTATTACACTTCCACACTTGAATAACAAATTCCTTTTACACAGCTGTTAACTAGACCATGATAGTGAATTCTAAAATACATCTGGTCCCCGACACAAACCACCAAAAAAAAGTTATACTGAACATTTCTGAAGGAAAAAAGGTATTTTAAGTTCAATCCCTTCCCGAGTGCACCCCACATTCTCAATTAAATTACAGATTGTTAAAAAACATGTAACTGCTGCACTGACTTTGTCACTTTCATATTCAATTAAAATGGTTTTCTTTTGCTTGCTGCCTCTATCTGCTGCACCCCACTAATTTATTTACTTATTCTAATTGCGATTCTTGTTCATGACTTCAAAACAGAGAAATTCCATTCTTTTATGACAGCACTTGGCTAATAAGCATGATTAATACTGCTAAATGCAAAAGTTTGAAAGATCAATGATTGAGAAAAAAGGAAAACACTCCATCATTTTAGCACAATGTCCAAGTATGAATTACCTTCCTATGAAAGAGCTGTAATTTGTAAAATGGTAATACGTTGACAAAGAAAGACACACTAAATTATGCCATGGGATGTAATATAACATGGCCTAGTGCAGCAATTAGAAGAACTACTACAGTTAAGGCTGTGTCAGCATCTTTGCTATTTAATATACTGTATATCAGCTCTTTCAAATAACATTTGACTGCTACTTAGGAAAGAAGTTCTACATTTTGACCATTGTTAAACACAGGTGGTATTATTTGGTAAATTATTTCTCAAGTTAAATGTATAATTTATAAAGCAGTTTCTGTGGAAATGCTAAGCATTTGATTTTATCAAATGAGTTTTATTTTCCTCCATGTGCTTTTCCAGGAAATTTATCATTTACACTTTCTTCTTCCTCAAAAAATATGACATGTACCTTAGCATGAATTTTTTGTACCTGTAACTTTATGTATCAGGGCAGTGCCAAAAAAACTGGGCCCAAGAGTTTATCAGAAATTTCTGAATGAAAACTAAAAACGAAAAATGGAAACTAAAATCTGCACTCTTCATCTGAAAGTCTCCCTCACCTCTTAGTTCTGCTCCAGACTTCCAACCCCAGCACAGACAGTCTAAACTCAGCTCATTTACTTATTTCTGGGATTTCTCTTGTCTCTCAGAGCCTTGTGCCCTACCCTGGGCTGCAGAGTCAGAGCCCTGCCAGCTCTCTGAGCCCAGCTCTACAATCAGTGCATGTTCCATAGGAAAACAGCACTATTCCTGTTTTACAGATGGAGAATTGCACTGGGAAGAACAGGGACTTGCCTAAGGAAACACAGGAAACCTGCAATGGAACGGGAAACTGAATTGAAATCAGTACAGTCCAAATCACTGGACCAGTTTTACTTACAGATGGAGACAATAATAACTTTTTTCCCCTGCAAATTCCACTTGTAAATATGCTCCAGTGTTCAGTGCCAGCAACACAAGAATAAATTGCAATACACTTATCTCTCCAGACCACTCCTGTATTCTTATGTTCCCTATCACTTCTCCTTGGAGAAAGAAAAAAATACAGCTGAGTGTACGAGGTATAATAAAAGTGGATGTTAAATGAAATGTATCCTGCAGCCTGCAGCATCCCACAGATAACAGCTTCATCTGGACTGCAGTTACTGTGGAGTAGCAAGTCTCTTGAAAAGAAAAATAATAATTAGAACAACTTCTTACCTAGAACTGTTCAGTTGTGAAGTGTTTTATAAGGGCAGTGACTGGCTCCAATGGGGAAAGCAGAGGTGCAGAATTACAAAGCCAGTTCCCTGTTTCCTGGCTCAGCAGTGGGAAAACTAAACTGGAAGAAAAGTCAGGACTCACAGGTCCTAATCCTGTGCCCTGTACCACAGACACCTCCAGTTCATCCCACCTGCAGTCCCTTTGCACAGCTAAAAAAAAACCATTTTACAAGAAAATCTGCATTCTTCCCTTCAGTATCTATTCCCATACAGTAAGATTATATATAAATTAATAGCAAGGCAGAACTAGATTCACAGCATAAACCAAATATGTGAAATGCAAACCTGTGGTGATATACTCAGCCCTTTTACTGTCACGCAATTTTAAAAAAAGTATTTCTTTTTGAGCATCCAATTTTCTTATTTAGTAACACAGTTGTCAGCACGTTAGATCAGCAAATACATATCTGACATATATACATATCAATGCACACTTCCAAATTCTTTGTTACCATAACAATTAGAAATGAATACACCCATAAAAAGTAAATCCTTCTTAATACTTCAAATTCAGGTTTAACTACATTTGTTCAGGAGATTTCTGCTGGTTGACATTCTTTGTCCAAATAGGTGCCATCCATAAGGGAAAGATGTCACATTCTAATTCTCCATCCTGCCTTTGGTATGATGAGCTTATAGGTGAAACTAAAAATGAAACTTTATGATATGAATCACACAATACACCCCAGAAAAGTAATTCTTTTTTTGACTCATCATATTCAAAAGGTTTGGTCTTTGGAGAAATTTGTATTAGGGAAAAATAATTTCTTTGTCCATACTAAGCTAGTAAAGGCTCTCATTCTTTTTAATACAGCAGATAAAGACTCTAAAATTAAACAATGATCTAGACCACTGTATATAGTGAGATGGATTTCAAGTAAGGTATATATGAAACAACAGAGGAAAAATTATGTGAAAGAAGAAAGCAAACTTACACCACTAAGGAAAACAAGACAACAGGAAGTAGCATTGGGACTTAACTCTTTTATATGAGGGGAAATATAGCTTTTCATTTATTTTACATGAGACAGAATGTTTCATTTTAAAATATTAGTAACTTGATTCATAAGTGTCACAGGAATATTATCAGAGCACTCAGAAGTCTGTTGATTTGTCAAAGTGCCAATACATCATTTATACACTTTACCAAAAGCTTTACATTTAACTCTCCTACCCACTCCCCACACGACCTTCCCTCCAACAGATAAAACTAAAGGACAAAAAGGTAATTTTTCCTTATCTTGTTTGCATTCTAGTCGATCTTGTCCCAGAACAGATTGTACTCAGCATTAAAAACAGGCAAAAGAGACAAGAACCTCCATCTTCCAGAGCTCCTGGAGCTTGTCAGGTTCAAGCAGAGATCATGGTTTCCTTACCAGAGCCACCATAAAGTGGGAAGAAATGTCTGGCCTGCTTCAACCACCCAGTTGAAGCAAACGTGGGGTGCACAGCTCTGCTTTCAGATTTTCAGCTAAATGCACAATATGGATTAAAAAAAAGGGCTGGCTGCACTGTCCATGGCAATGTGCATGTTTCAGATGGCACAGATAAAGATGGACTCTACATGGATTTGCTGAGAGTTATTTATGATCTACTTAATATACTTAATAATTAAAAGCCTGATATTTACCAGTCTTAACAGGTTATTTATCACTGCACAAATTACATACATGTTCAACTAAGCAAAAGCAGAACTGACACAACAACCCCAGACAATTCTCCAGTAAACATTCCCTCAATTGCATTGCACAGCCCAGGAGCCAAATTCTGTATAATTGGCACATTCAGGTGAGTTCAGGAGTTAAATTACAGGTACCATGAACAGACAGGGAAGATCAGCCCAAGCAACCCACACACGTGCTGTGGGTGACACACCTGCACTCACAGACCCACTGCACTGGCTTACAGTCATTGACCTGTCTATAAACAAACTACCTCTGTTTAAGTTTCATTTTGTTTAGCTGAAGCAAATGCAAGTGATAAGCTCAGCTTCAGCTTTCTGAAAATGCTGCTACTTGCCCATCTTTGATTTTAGCAATTTTATAAGGTAACTCTTAAGGCCACAAGTCTTGCAGCAATAAACCTCCCTGTGTGCTTCTGTTCTTCCAAACAAACCCCAAAAATCTTTTCTTTTTTTTTCTTTTTTTTTTTTGGTGAAGATATATTTAATTAGTTTCTTGGTTTTAGGTATTGAAAGATCTCCAGAAAGTAATCCAAGTTCAATTCGGTGACAGTTTCTTTTCATTTGGTTTCAAATTCATTTTATCAGCCTTAAAACTATCTGGTTGAGTTAAATGAAATTCCCTCTGTCAGAGGCACCTCCAAATTGCACAACCACGCTGTTTCAATCTCTGTCTGTCATTTTATTTTTTGTTGTGATACATTTCTGAAAAATTGAACTCCAATTGTGAAAAGCAATGCCATCTCCGCTGGCCAATTTTATTCTAAAATTGTTTTTAAACACATTTTTCATCCCGTTGGGCATACTAACC